ATGCCTGCCACAAATAACAAAGAATAGATACGGCGCCATGTCTCCTGCGCACGCCCAAGATCGACCACGACCGCCCCTCACTCCTCTTGGATCCTCCTCATCCGCGTTTCTCGGTGCTCATCGTCCCTTCTCTTCTTTCGCCAAAGCCTGGGTGGGTTTTTGTTCCCCACATCCTGAGTGGGGTGCTCGCTTTCCTGGGACACCCTCTCCTTTTCCTTTTCCTCCGTATCCTTCTGCTTCTCCCGCTTCCCTACTATTCCATACCAGCGCGTACCAGACCAATACCACACCTACCTACCATGCCATACCTACCACGCCGCACCGACCATACATACCTACCATACCAAACCACACCTATTATACCATACCCTACTTACCATATCATGCCATACTATGCCATACATACCATACCAGACGTACCATACCATACCATACCATACCTACCACACCATACCACGCCTACCATGCCGAAGCTACACTACCATACCTCCTACCCCAGGGGTGCCACGCCAGAGCGAGGGCAGTATCGGGATAACATATCAGTTACAAGGATTCATCCAGTTGGCGCGCATTGACGAGTCTCTTGAAGGCCTGCTGGTTGTCTCGAGGGTCGTTTCGGGGCAGAGGGCTCGAACGTGTTGTTCGAGTTCCCCCTCTTGGGCCCCTCTTGGGCCTTTATTAAGTGCCGCTTGCGCCGTCTTGGGAGCCTGTTGGGCCTTCTCAGGGCCCCTTTGGTTTCGTCATGGGGCCCTGTTAGTGGGCCCCTTGGGCTAGCAGGGGGCAATATCGGAGGCATCTTGGGCCGCTTAAGTCATCGAAATTTGCGTTGCTGGGTTTTCTCGGCGGTAGTGTAAGAACGTCGTTGAAGCCTTTTGGAAGTTCCTGAGGCGATCGAAGAAACGCAGTGGGACATCTTGGAGCGTTCTTGGGCCGTCTCGGACCCTTGGGGCTCTCACGCAAACAAAATACGCTCCAGGGAGGAACGGGAAACAGGCGGAACCCTCCCCCCTCCATGGTACATTTCTGCCCCTCTATAGCGCACCATCATCGCTAAGCTCCCACATTTCCTGCGTCATGTTTTTGTGCCTCCTGCTCCTGGCTGGTCCCCCAACCACACGCCATCGCTTCTCCTTCGCAGTCGACCTCATCATCCATCCCTCTCCTCCTCCTCCTCCTCCTCCTCCTTTTCCTCCTCCTCCTCCTCCTCCTCCTCCTCCTCTTCCTCCTCCTCCTCCTCCTCCTCTTCCTCCCTCTCCTCCTCCTCCTCCTCCTCCTCTTCCTTTTCCTCCTCTCCTTTCCTTTCTCCTCCTCCTCCTCCCCCTCCTCCTCCTCCTCTTCCTCCTCCTCTTTTGTTCTCCCCATCCTACGGTCCTTTGCCGTTGTTCTCCATCCTACACCTCGTCGTTTTTGTCGTCGTCGCTCGTTTCCTTCATCTTCATCGCTACGGCATCCCAATATCCCCTTACCGTTATTCATTGTTTCGACCAGTATCCTGGATTTTGTTCGCGCCAGGAACACAGCCAACTGCGTTCGTTCTGACAAAAAGTAGTTGCGAGCATATACGGCGGGGCACTGCCATTTTTTGAAACATAGATACGAGTATATATGTTTCCTTGCAGAAGCATAGATACGGTCCCAAATTGTTGGATATGTTTGAAAATTATTTATGTTTAGATACGGCGGCGCTCCCGCGCAGGCAGGGGGCGCGCATATATATATATATATATATAATATATATATTATCTATATATATATCGACATTACATATACCATACCTATACCTATACCGATACATATACATATACATATACATATACATATACATATACATATATATACATATACATATACATATACATATACATATACATATACATATACATATACATATACATATACATATGCATATGCATATACATATACATATACATATACATATACACATACACATACACATACACATACACATACATTTACATACACATATACATTTACATTCGCATATACATATACATATACATATTCATATGCATATGCATATACATATACATATACATATACATATACATATACATATACATATACATATGTATACATGTAGTGTCGTCGTTGCAAAACAAATCGATACGATGGGCTTCTCGCCTGCGCCAGGGCGCGATCGCATCTAAACGCATCTATCATTTTCCAGATACGTCTTGCAGGGACCAGGAACCGGGGGCCCCGGAACCGGGAACCCGGGAACCCAGCCGGCCACCAACATCGGCGGGACATTTTCACCAAATCTTCCAATTTCCGCTAGGACCCCGTCAGTGCAAGCACTGATTCGGGAAAGACGCACTCAAGAGCGACGCCCGGGCCTCATGGGGCTGTTTTTGTTGTGTCGTGTTGTGTTTTTGTGTTGTTTGTTATATTTTGGTGTGTTTTTTGTTTGTTTTTTTGTTTTGTTGTTTTTTTTTTTTTGGTGTTTTGTTTGTTTTGTTTTTTGTGTTGTTTTTTTGTATGTTCTTTCCCTCTTGTGTTTTTTTTTTGTATTGTGGTTTTGTTGTGGTTTTGTTTTTTGTGGTTTATCTGTTGTTGTTTGTTATTTGTTTTTGTTTTTTTTGTCGTGTGTGTTGATGCTGTTATGTTGTTTTGTTTTTTTGATTTGGTTTGTTGATTTGTTTTGTTTGTGTTGTTTGTTTTTTTTTGTGTTTTTGTTTTTGCGTGCTATGTTTTTTTCGTTGTTTTTGTTTGTGTTTTGGTGTGTTTGTATGTTTGTTTCTTGGGTATTTGTGTTGTGTTTGTTCTGTTTTGTTCGGATATCGCGCTGCAGCCGAGAGACGGTTGTGGTTAATGGCGTAAAGAAAATTTTAATGGTGAAATAGAAATGTTAAAGGTGAAATAAGCACTACGCTAATACACTATGTAAATACACTACGTAAATACACTACGTAAATACACTACGTAAAAACACGACGTAAATACACTACGCAAATACACTGCGTAGATGCAGTAAGTACGTGAGTACGTTACGTCCGCACACTACGTGCGTGACCAGGGAGGTCTCGTCACAGTGCGTTCCAGCGGCTGGCGCGGCCCTGCGAAGTCCGGACGACGAGGGCATTCTGCGTAGTTTTTTTTTTTTTTTTGGGGGGGGGGTTCAGGAACGCCCCGAGTTGGCAACGCTGCTACGCGGGAAGCAACAATCCCGAACCGCTACGGATCAGCGCGCCGCGTCGCCCGCGTCTCTCGCCACTTTCGCCCGGGGCCGCGGGCAGTTGCGGATTCGGGCGGAATTGGCGCGAGGCGCGGGCGACGAGGGCATTCTGCGTAGTGTTTTTACGTGGCGTTTTCAGGGGCGCCCCGAGTCGGCCCGCAACCACGTTGCAAAGAACGGCGCCCGAACCCCGCGTCGCCCGCGTTTCACGCCACGTTCGCCCGAGGCCGCGAGGAGCCGCGGTTTCGGGCGGAATTGGCGTGAGACCTGGGCGACGAGGGCATTCTGCGTAGTGTTTTTACGTCGTGTTTTCAGGAGCGCCCCGAATCGGCCCGCCACCACGCAGAAAGAAACTACGCCCAAACCCCGCGCCCGCGTCTCACGTCACTTTCGCGCGAGGTTGGGGGGAGCCACGGTTTCGAGCGGAATTGGCGCGAGACGCGGGCGACGAGGGTATTCTGCGTAGTGTTTTTACGTGGTCTTTTCAGGAGCGCCCCGAGCCGGCGTGCCGCCACGCGGAAAACGCCACGCGGAGACGCACCGGGCTGTTCGAGAAGCACACAGCGAAAACATTACGCAACAACAGCATCACGCAATAAATAATACGCTGGAAACACCACGCGAGAAACATTTCGCGAAACAGATCACGAGAAAACATCACGCAACAGCACGACGTAAAACCATGACGCGAACACTACGCAAATACACTTCGCAAATACACTACGCATATACACTACGAAAATACATTACGCAAATACACTACGCGAATACACTACGCAGAAACACTACGCAGATACACTACGCAAAATCATGCTCATTCCCGAGACGATGCCAATACAGCGCGCGCCTACGTAGGCGTCCACGCCGAAACACGTCGCGAAAGAATGCGCCGAAACGCCACGCCGACCGGCGCGCCTAAGCACTGCGCAGAAACATTGCGCAGGAACACAACGCAGAAGCACCACGCAAACACGTTACGTGAAAGCACACCGCAACAACACGACGCAAGAATTTTACGCGAAAACATCACGCAATAAACACTACGCAAGAAACACTGCGCGAGAAACACTACGCGAAAACATTGCGCAAAAGCACGACGTAAAAACAGTGCGCAAACACATTGTGCAAATACAATACGCCAATACAGTACGCAAGTGCCTTACGCAAATACACTACGTAAATACACTACGCGAATACACTACGCAAGTACACTACGCAAATACAGCACGCAAACACACTACGCAGATATACTACGCAGATACACTACGCAATGCCAATACATTGCGCGCCTACGTGGTCGTCCACACCGAAACACGTCGCGAAACAACGCGCCGAAACGCCACGCCGAACGGCATGCCAAAGCACTGCGCAGAAACATTGCGCAGGAACACAACGCAGAAACACCACGCAAACACGTTGCGTGAAAGCGCACCGCAAGATTACGACGCAAGAAGCACTACGCGAAAACATCACGCAAGAAACACTACGCAAGAAACACTACGCGAGAAACGCTACGCAAAAACATTGCGCAAACACACGACGTCAAACAGTACGCAGACACACTACGCAAACACACTGCGCGAAGACACGACGCAAATGCACTACGCAAATACATTACGACATACACTACGCAAACATACTGTGCAAATGCACTACGCGAATACACTACGCAAATACACTACGCAGATACACTTACGCAAATACACTACGCAAGTACACTACGCAAATACATTTACGCAAATACACTACGCGAGTACACTACGCAGAGTCATTTCACCCTTAAGCATAACTCTCCAGCCGAGAGGACGCGGCTGCCGCGGGTGCTGCCGAGTGCGCCGGCGGCGCTGCCGCGGTGGCGCCGCGCGCCGCAGGCGGCGCGTGCACGGGGGAGGCCGCGATGCTGGATCTCCAGCTGCAGAGGGCCACGGCCGACTCCGCGGAGCTGAAGGAGCAGGCGGGGGTCGACCAGCGTCGTCGTCGTCGTCGTCGTCGTCGTCGTCGTCGTCGTCGAGGGCGTCGTCGAGGTCGTCCTCGTCGAGGTCGTCATCGTCGAGGTCGAGGTCTGTGTGAATGGTCAGTCTTCCCTGGGACCCTGCTTTGAAAGGGGTCCAGGGGCATGGAGTGCTCGGTATGGTGCAACAGAGAGGTTGCATTTGAGACGCGTTTTTTTCCTCATCTGTGGTGTCGTCTCGCTCTGGGAACAAAGACAAAACGAATATCGTGCGCTGGAAAAAAAGTCTTCCCTGGGACCCTTGCGTCGCAATTTGTTCGAGCCGGCCGGTTTCGCCATACGGCTCGGTCTCTGGGGCCCTCACACGCAGATCGGTGCGTCTCGACAACTGGCGCAGAACAGGTGGGGTCCAGGGAGCGGTGCCTTCTCGTGCCACGAAGCCTCTCAGGGCCATGGTCAGGCGTCGGCCTGCGCACAGACAGCCCCGCAGGTAGACCTGGCTGGCCTCAACAGGCCCTCCCTGGTAGCCCCAGCAGGCCCCAGCATGCCACCCCGAGCAGTTAGACTGGGGCGGTCTCAACGCCCCGGCGCCGCCGCCTATTTTGCGCCCCAGGGATGCTCCGCGTCTCGGGGCTGGGGTGTTGAGACTGCCCCAGACCACTCGGGGCGGCCTTCAGAGGTCAGCCGGGACTGCTCGGGTGGCCTGTCGAGGCCAGCCAGGATTTCCTGGGGGTGGCTGTCTGCGCGCAGCCTGGAGGGTTACCGGCCGACCAGCACGTTGGTTTGGCAGTCTCGCGGGCCGTTTTCGTTCTGCCTTGGGCTTCGCGTTGCTTTCGTTCTAGGGCCTTTCATGGGCCAATCACGGCTCTGGGCTTGCGTCAGAAGTCTGTTTTGGGCACTCGGCCAGACCCTTTTCGTTTCAGAGCGCCTAAAGACGAAAATTCTACGAAAACGCAAAAGCCTGTTTCGGTCGACCCCTTGGAGCAGGTGGGCGCGCTGAAGAGGACGGTCGCCAAGCTCACCAGGCTGAAGACAGGCGCCGACAGCAGCGACGAGGACCCTCAGAGGAGGATAGTATACGTATTGATGTCGCCACGCTCCCCCCGTCACCACGACGGGATTCGCCTCGACACCTTGGTAAGAACGCGCTTCAGGAGGTCCGCGAAGCGTGTATCGGTGCATGCTTCGCTTCCCCAGGCCCACGCTTTTTTTTTGGGGGGGGGGGTCTGCGGCGAGCTGTGTCCCACAGGCGGTCGGCTGACGGCGGGACGCGTCCGTAGCAGAGTACGGCGAAAGCCAAGGAGGGGCAAGAGGGGAGGACCCAGGCATCCGGCCGCTCCAAGTTTTGCGATGCGGGGGCCCCGAAGGTCTGGACCGTTTCCCCATGCAGGGCCGGTCTTCTGTCCTGAGCCGTTGATCGATGATCTCGCGAGGCCCGGCGAGGGCCCCCGGGGAGGCCTCAGCGACCGAAAGCCCGCCGCTCCACTTTTTGGGGAGCGTCGGATCTCTGGGGGGGGGGCGGACGCGGAACTGCCAGACAGCACCCAGATCGTGTAGATCTTTCCAGTGGCGCGGGAGGTCAGGCGCACGACCTCGACGACGGCCCCCGGACCTGCACAGCCGGCGGTGCGTTTTTTTCGATCCGCGGCCCCAGGCGCTTCGAGACTTCCGATCCGCTGGGGGTGCAGCCAGGACTCGGCGGCGAGCCCAGGGGGGGAGCGAGAAGGGGCGGGCCTTCTCAGAAGGCTCGGAAGTCCCCTGGCCTTCCGAGAAGTTTTCGGAGCCTTCCCCGAAGACACAGAAATCTTCTCCGAAGGCCGGAGCGCTTCTGAGAAGCCCCGCCGCCCTCTGAGAAGGCCTCCTCCTTCCCACTTCCCCCCCTCGATCGCCGCCGAAGGACGCTGAGATAAGAAGGACAACGCTTTTGATCCAGTGCTTTCGGGGCCGTTCCTTGGACCCAGGTCGGGGGGCCCTAGCATCGACCGAGGCTCGCCGTGGCCAGAGCAGCCCCTTCGCTCCTTGAATTGTGGAGCAAGCGGACGTGTCCTGGGGGAGCGGCGCCAACTCGGCCTGCGAGAAAAGCGACTGGGCACGCGCCGCGCCCGCGGCATTTGCGACGTCCGAGGGGCCAGCATCAGGCGCGCTTCTCATGGGGCCCAAGGTTTTCTTTCTCTTTACAGGAGCGCATCGCACGTTGAGCTTAAGTTAAGGGGCCGCGCTCCACGCAGAGCCCCCCCCCGCCCACCGGCGCGATAGTTCCCCGCGTTCCCTTGTCGACGCAGACGCGGCGGTCTGGCGCGCGCTTCTCGATCGCCGCCTCGGCGCGCTTGAGCGCCAAATCCTTGCGAATATGTGATGAGTTTTTGTCCTCGGACACGTGGGGTTCCTTCTTCTAGGCCACCCCGTCACTGACCGCGAACCGTTCCCGTTCTTTGTCGCTGATCTTCATGGCCCCGAGCGCGCCGTTGACTTTGCACGCCGCCGCCCCTGGTGCGCCTCGAACTCGGATAGCACAACGTTTGGAAGCGGCACCCCCTCCAATCCAATCTCCCAGCCCCCCTACGCAGACTTGACCTCCGACTTGGCGACCAGAGTGGGCGAGCGGGCCACAATGATGGTCGGGTCGGTCCCTTCTCAAAACTCGGCGATGCCACGGGCGGCCTCTCGTTGGTGAGGGAGGCCAGCGGATTTGTCAGCCTTGCGCCCTGGATCCAGCTTTGATGGCCCTGGGGCCCGGAAGCAGCCCGCGGAGGCCGAGAGCGAGGAGCAAACGCACGCCCGCGCTGAAGAAGTCAGACCGCTCTGGAGATCTGGGGCCGTAGGCATCCGACGCGGTGGCCTTTCCAATGCGCGGCTTGCAGAGGCCCGTCCCACGGGGCCGTAGACATCCAATGGTGTGGCCTTTGCAATACGCGGCTTGCAGAGGCCCGTCCCACGGGGCCGTAGACATCCGATGGTGTGGCCTTTCCAATGCGCGGCTTGCAGAGGCCCGTCCCACGGGGCCGGTGACATCCGACGATGTGGCTTTTGCAATGCGCGGGGGAGTCAGTCTTTCGCCCCGCGGATCCATTTCTGATGGCCCCAGGGCCTGATGACGGGCCCCAGATCGGCGACTACGAAGGTTGTGGTTACGCCGGGGTGTGGTTTGCGATCGGCGCCGTTGGGGCCTGGGGGGCACGGTGCTGTCCTCGTCGGGCCGCCTCGGGGCGCGGCGGAGAACTCTGTCGAGGTCCCCCCGCCCGCCCCCCAGACCCCCGACGTCATAATTTTTTGTTCATCACGTCGACCCCGGAAGTGCCGACCCAGTTCCCGGGACCAGTGTCTCATCTTGCGGTGGTTTGTTGACGGCCCCGAGGCCCAGCAGGGGCCCCCGGAGGCCGAGGATGGCACACAAAACGCCTCCCGTCATGATTTTGTCACGACGCGAGGGCGTCTGGGCCCCCCGGGGTGCCCCCCCCCCGGGGTGCGGGTTGCAACCCACACCCCGTGCAGGCCAAGCCTTTCAGAGGCGCCCGCCGACCAGAGGCCGAGGTCGAGGAAAATCGCCGGGGTTGAACGGAAGCCGGCGACCGAGATCGAGGGGGAGCGACGAGGAGGGGAGGTCGAGGGGTAGCAAGGGGCTCGAGGGTAGAGGGGGAGATGGAGGAGGAGAGCGAGGGGTTAGCGACGAGGAGGGTGGACCAACGAAGATCGCTGAGGCCGAGATCGAAGGGGAGCGAGGGACTCGAGGGGAAGAGTGGGGAGGGGGGGGGGGGCGGCGTGGGCCGAACCATGCATGGAGGCACGTGGATTACCGACGGTCCCCGCTTAGGTGCAGAATCGGCGCGCTCCGTCGCCAACGCAACAAAGTGGGGTCGTGTGCGCCGACACTGGCCCGTAAGCTGCCCGCGCAAGGTCGCGCGTGAACGCCCTCGTTTCCCATGTGGCGTGCCGCGCTGGCGGCCCGCGTGAGCCACCGCGGAAGGTCGCCCTACCATCTCGCGCAGGACCCATTCTCTTCTGTCGCTCGAATCATGCTTCGGAGCCTGTTTCCCCGATCCATGGACCCAGACCCCGACGTCACGATTTTCTCACAGCGTCGACCCCCAGCGGTCTCGACCCATTCCCCGGGACAAGTGTTGCATCCCGAGTCGATTTTTGACGGCCCCGAGGCCCGGTAAGGGCCCCCAGAGGCTGAACATAGCGAAAAGCATCGTCCGCCATGGTTCTCGTGACGCGAGGGAGGAGGAAGAGGAGGAGGAGGAGGAGGAGGAGGAGGAGGAGGAGAGGAGGAGGCGGAGAGGAGGGGGAGGCAGCAGCAGCAGCAGCAGCAAGCAGCAGCAGCAGCAGAAGCAGCAGCAGCAGCAGGAATTATGATGATGAGGATGATGATGATGATGATGATGATGAGATGATCATGATGATGATGATGGGAGATCGATGATGATGATGACGATGATGGAAGATGAGAGCGAGGCTGCTGCGTGGATGTGCTGCGGCTGCACTGATGACCCTCTTCAAGATGATGATGATGATGATGATGATGATGATGATGATGATGATTGATGCTGATGCTGATGATGTGCTGATTGCTGTGATGATTGTGACTGCATGATGATGATCATACATGATGATGACGATGACGATGACGATGACGATGATGAATGATGAGATGGATGATGATGCTGTGATGATTTGATGATGAAGTTATGATGATGATGAGATGATGAGGAGGAGGAGAGGAGGAGGAGGAGGAGAGGAGGAGGAGAGGAGGGAGGAGAGGAGAAAGAGGAGGAGAAGGAGCGAGGAGGAGGAGGAGGGGAGGAGGAGGAGAAAGAGGAGGAGAAGGAGGAGGAGGGGGGACGAGGAGGAGGAGGAGGAGGAGGAGGAGGAGGAGGAGGAGGAGGAGGATCACTCACTCGCTCAAGAGCCGCGCTGGGACGGATTCCACGCGGGGGGGGCGGAGGGGGTCGGAACGCCGAAGGACACGAATGAAAACGGACTGGCTAAAAGTTTGGAGCAGGCGGAGTTTGGCAGTTTTCGGCGTCCGGGGGCCCTCGCCGGGCCTCGGGAGCGTCAAAAAGCGATTCAGGACGAAAAACCAGTCTCGGGGAAGTGGTCCGGACCTCCAGGGCCCACGCATCGAAAAAATTGGAGCAGCCAGATGTTTGGGTAATTCCTACTGGGGGAGTGACGAACTTTCTGATAGTAAGATTGACGCTTCGCGCATAACCACCAGCCCATCCAGAACCGCTGTCCAGAGGAGTTCTCTGGAGGAGGGGCGCAGGTATGCGCGTGGTGAAGCAAGGAGATATGACACCTGGCGAAGCCTTTTGGAACCGTCCAGGCCTCGGCGCGACACGCATCGGCGAAAGAAAGACTGCGTGCACATGTCTGGGAGCGGCTGCTGTGCCTCGGAGCTCGACCGCCGGCAGCCTTTGTGCCCATGGCGCCGCGCGAGGATGATCAGCAGCAGGTCAGGCATGTCCCCCTACAGGCGGATTGTGGACGAAAAACCAAAAACAGTCAAAAAATATCCAAACAGGATCAGAAATTGTTGAAAAATCGTCTCCAGATCGTTTTTCACTATTTCTGAGTTTGCCTCCTGTAGAGGGAGGGACACGCCCGACTCCAGATCGGCAGCGCTCGCGCGCCCTCCGAGCGGCACGCGCTATAGCATGGATGAGGGGTCCTTGGATCTGGCGCGGTGGCGCCAGATTTAAGTCGGGCCTGTCCCTCAACAAGAGGAATATTCAAAAATTGTCAAAACTAATCTGGGGACGTTTTTTTTACTACTATGTTTGATCCTCCTGCATTTTTGTTTGTTATTTTTTCTTTGTCGTGCAAAATCCGCCTGTATGGGGGACATGCTTGACCTAACGCCAGATCCCTAGACCCCCTCGAGTCATGAAAAAATATGGCTGATGTTTTTGTCCCGCTGTTTTCAGCCACACATGCGATGATCATGTCCCCAGACCCCCTCGAGTCCTGCAAAAATCATGGCGGATGATGCTTTCCGCTATTTTCGCCCTCTGGGAGCTCTTGCTGGGCATCGGGGTCGTTAAAAAACGACTCGG